AAGGATTGCTGAATTGCCTTTGAGTCTATATCTTTCCAGCGCAAAAGGCGTTGAAGCTAGCCTGAGCCGCAAGATAGGCTCGTAAATATCTCGCAAAATTTAACACGTTTTCTCTGATATCTTGATACCTATCAATAATTTGTTAAAAGATAGATAATAAAAGTTGTTCAGAATTAGATTTTCTATCATTTGATATAAAGAAAAGGGGTCTGACCCCTCAAATAAAGGGCAAACAGGGGCCAAAAGTCTCTCATCTATAACTCTTTATTTATCAATTTTTTGTTATAAATAACTGAAACGAAAATGTTTATCATAACAATCTGCATCAATGCATTGTAAAATCGTGATAATATGCTACATAATAAGGGGTCATTAGGGACCAAAATGCTCATTCTTGGATTCTTCATATCTCCAAAAGGGGAAATATTTTAATAAGCGGTATCGAGTAAAAGATGTTCAGTGTTGTCTTTTAAACATTATACAACCATTCTAAATATGCAATATATAGAACGTAAAAGAATTTAATCAAAGGAGAGACGTCTTTATATCATTATGATTTAACAAAGATCATTGTCAAAATCATATCTTATCGAAAAATCGGACGGAAGACGTACTCGTTGCTCGCAACGAGATCTCATCTAGTTGTTTTTATTTTTATTTTCAAAGATGGGCTGAGAATGAGGAACTTTTATGGTACCAAAATAATTTTCTTTTGACCTTGGTGTTTGACCTGCAAACGATAATATCCATCATAAGCTGCGGTACGAGATCACCTTTGTTTCAGAAACTTATCTTTTAATTTTATAATTAACTCCCCAAAAACTCTTTACTATTTATTTAAATAAAAGTTGTCCACTCGGAGTTCCTTGGATGACTCTACCTCGCACATAACCTCCGACGTTAACGGTGATCTACCATCTTGCTGATTCAGTCATGTGATCTTATTGGAATTTCTTTTAAATGTCATACATTTGAAATCGAAGTTATTTTGTGGCACACTGAACAGATATTTTCATGCTTTTGAAGCCTACTAACGTGAGGTTGTAATCAAAACCTGCTTACGATAAAGAATTGCATAAATCAAGAAACATTTTAGAAGAACGTTATGCAGAGCGAAATATGAAATGAGTAATAAGGCAGTTTCCGGCAGAGAAATGTAAGGATCTGTTGCGTATTCCTCCACTAATCACATCCGAGGTTTGAATGGAGCGTAGCGGAGTCAGTCGAGGATTGCCGATTAAGTTGTAGTCTATCATATTTTTTTGATTTATTACCACAGTCTACATATCGCAAAATATAAATGACTTGTCTTACCACATATGATGATGATTGTGCCATTATTTAAGCATTGTCATCTTTTTAAAAGATGAAGTCCATAATTGCAAAGGTATTTGCAAACATATTGAGTAATGCTTACGTGTGCATTATGAAAAATTGTTTGCATAAATCGTTACAGATATTTCAATAATAACAAGAATACATTGATGTAACCATCAATTGTCGCCTGGGAAATATATAAAGTAAACAATGAAAATGAGACTTGATCATCAAACCGCTTCGATATGTGTGAAAAGGCCATCTAATTGATGGAGACGATGGTCGCGAATATTTTGAAAACTTGTGGACGGATAAAAATTAATCAAAGACGATACCACTTTTAACTTGATCATTTCCGCAAGTAAATGTTAGCTGCATAAAATATAAATTGAAGTTAAACACAGGCATCACATATACTTAAAAATGTATTACTTTTCAATTTTAGAATATGAAACACGAACTGTGCAAAGTACGTTTTTATCCGAGAAGTAAAATTCTTTGTTCTAAAAAAGGGACCTGTCGTTTTACCGATAGTAAATGATAAGCAATTTTATATATTAAATATGAAAAACATATATACTTTTACAGATTCACTTTATGGAAGTATATACATTATGTACCTCGTTATTTATAAACGGAAAGAACATTCTGATTAACAATCTTTTCAATGTTAAGAAAACCTTTAATTCTAAATAACTACTCCCACCCAAATCCCCATACACCAACACTTAAACTTATATGTATAGAGCAGCCCGGTCCTCCGAGCTGCAATGAATCAGTGATTATATTTTACTTTTTCTAACTCCTTGTCTTGTTTTGCAAATTTGATTTATTATTTAGAATACTTGATTCTCTCTAACGTAAGTAACAATCAATATAAATGATTTTAGGTTTTTGATTTTCGCTTCTGACTTTGCTCTTGCACGGCATTGAACGTTTGTGATGTCAGAATAAAATGCATTATATTATTATAATATACATTATAACCTTTTTACCCCCCCCTCCCTCTTCTGTGTTATAGTGTATTGAAATAATATAAACCAAAAAAAAAATCAGTATCGATACTAGTCTACGATGACGAATCCTGTGCATTCAAGAACAGAAAAATTTCATTCTTTTTTCAAATGGTTCTAGTCCATATCACTTATTCAGAAGTAGTGACACTAAAGTTTCAGATTGTCAAAATGCACCCATAAAATATTCTAGCCATATAAGATTACCTATAATATGCATTCAAACCTTAGGTTTCTGTATTTTTAGCTCTTCTGAGCCAAAGGCTCAAAGAGCTAATGCTATGGCCATTTGTGCGGTGTGCGTTAACTTTTTAGAATATGGGCCATAACTCAAGAACCCCTTGGCCAATCAGTGTCAAATTTGTCACAGGGTATCCTTGGCCCAAGGGCTATCATTTGTACTAAAATAAGGGTTGGGACCTTAAAACAAGGCGAGATAATCAGGAAAACAAAACCAAAAGTACTGGTTGCTAAAAAATCTTCTTCTCCAGAACCACCAGGCAGATTTTTGCCAAACTTGCATACAAGGATAAGGATATGTTGAAGATTAAAAATTGTTCAAGGCATGACCCTGGGGCAAAGGGCGTGGTCTCAAGGTCACTTTAAAGTTGACCTAAATTTACAATTATTAAAAATGTTTATATTTTCTTACTATAAGGACTAGGATCATCAAATCTTGTAAGTTGATGCATCTTAGGACTTCACATCATGTAAACTCAAAAGTAGGTCACGGTGACCTACTTTTTTAATGTTGCAGGCATTTGTTTTAAAATTGATTTGAAGGCATATTTTGGACACTTTAAGGCCTCTGATTATCAAAGTTAGTCAGTTGATGCATCTTGGGTCCTTGAACAATGTCAACTTAAAAGTAGGTCACTCTGACCTAATTTTTGAACTCTATGACTTATCCTTTTTTAAACATTTAATCCCATTATTTCAGGCACTGAAAGGGTTAGAATCATCAAATCTTGTAAGATGCTGCATCTTGGGACCTTAAAACATATTTAAATAAAGTAGGTCACTGTGACCTACTTTTAGAATTTTGCAGGCATTTGTTTTCAAATTGTTTAAAAGGCATATTATGATTACCTTCAGACCTACGATCATCAAACTTGGTCAGGAGATGCATCTTGGGACTCTGAAAAATGACGACCAAAATGTAGGTCAACATGTGACCTACTTTCGACATTTTATGGCTATATTTCAGTATCTTAGATATTAATTGGCTTAGAATCATCAAACTTTGTTGAGTTGATGCATCTTGGGTTTTCGGAGAGTGACGACCAAAAACTAGGTCATGGTGACCTACTTTTGACATTTTATGGCTATATTTCAGTATCTTCGGTATTTATTGGCTTAGAATCATCAAACTTTGTGAGTTGATGCATATTGTGTTTTCGGAGAGTGTCGACCAAAAAGTAGGTCATGGTGACCTATTTTTGAATATCTCAGGTATTTATTGGCTTAGAATAATCAAACTTGGTCAGCAGATGCAACTTGGGACTCTAAAAAATGTCAACCAAAATGTAGGTCACGATGACCTACTTTCGACATTTTATGGCTATATATAAGTATCTTCGCTACTTATTGGTTTAGAATCATCAAACTTTGTCAGTTGATGCATCTTGGGTTTTCCGAGAATGTCGACCAAAAAGTAGGTCACAGTGACCTACTTTTGACATTTTATAACTATATTTATGTATCTCTAGTACTTATCGGTCTAGAATCATCATACTTTGTCAGTTGATGCATCTTGGATTTTCGGAGAATGTTGACCAAAAAGTAGGTCACGGTGACCTACTTTTGAATATCTCAGGTATTTATTGGCTTAGAATTATCAAACTTGGTCAGGAGATGCAACTTGGGATTCTAAAAAATGTCAACTTAAATGTATGTCACGATAACCTACTTTCGACATTTTATGGCTATATTTAAGTATCTTCGGTACTTATTGGTTTAGAAGCATCAAACTTTGTCAGTTGATGCATCTTGGGTTTTCCGAGAATGTCAACCAGAAAGTAGGTCATGGTGACCTATCTCAGGTATTTTTGGCTTAGAGTTATCAAACTTAGTCAGCAGATGTATCTTGGGTCTCTGAAAAAATGACGACTAAAATGTAGGTCACGATGACCTACTTTCGACATTTTATGGCTATATTTAAGTATCTTAGGTAGTTATTGGCTTAGAATTATCAAACTTTGTCAGTTGATGCGTTTTGAGTTTTCCAAGAATGTAGACCAAAAAGTAGTCCTAATTGGCTAAGAATCATCAAACTTCGTCAGGTGATGCAACTTGGGTCTTAGGATACTTAGGGTTAGAGGCTTCAAATACAAGTGATAGGTTGTTCAATTTATCAGAAGAGCGATTCAAGGCCCTTGGGCCTCTTGTTTGAAATATCCGAAACTATCCTCTACCACCTTTCCCAGAATGCACGACCATGAAGCTGAGCATGCGTTTTCCAGGAATTTGGACTAACGTAGTTGCTAGCGCTCGAGAGAGCTATCAAATACATGTAGATCAATCTTCATTTATCCGTGTTTATAAATAAAAACAAAATATTTCTAATTTCAAAATTTATTACAACACATATAAAGTACATCCTTTACTTAATACATTAAGTAGAGAAAATACAATAATTTATTGCTTTACAGAATAAATTAATCCCCCCCTTTAACGAAAACATATTTGTTTACATGTTTGTTACTTGATGTTAAATATTTATAAAAAAAGAACTCAGCAATGGAAATTAATTTGTAATCGTCTCTTTAAGGTTTGCATAATCAATTGAGGATCTTTCATCTGTTAAAGAAATAAATGAATACTTCACAGATACATGTATAATAGCATATATATTTTTTTTTTCGAAAAACCCCCCACATTTATTGCTGCATATTTTTGACAAACAAACACACTTCAAACTACTCTTCTTTTTTTCTTTTTAAAAATATTTTACACTTAATATCATCATTGCATGTAAATTTTTTTTGCCGTTGTTAAATAAGAAAGAGTCGTAAATCTGAATTTTAGTTTAACTGAAAACTTATTAGCTCTTCTGAGCCAAAGGCTCAAAGAGCTAATGCTATGGCCATTTGTGCAGTGTGCGTAAACTTTTTAGAATATGGGCCATAACTCAAGAACCCCTTGGCCAATCAGTTCAAAATTTGTCACAGGGTATCCTTGGCCCAAGGGCTACCCTTTATACTAAAATAAGGGTTGGGACCCTTAAACAAGGGGAGATAATCAGGAAAACAAAACCAAAAGTACTGCTTGCTAAAAAATCTTCTCCATAACCACCAGGCGGATTTTCACCAAACTTTAAAGGATCAGGATATGTCGAAGATTAAAATTTGCACGGGGAATTACCCTGGGGCAAAGAGCGTGGTCTCAAGGTCACTCCTGAGTTTACCTAAATTTACAATAAATAAAAACTTGTATATTTTGCTTACTATAAGGACTAGGACCATCAAATCTTGTAAGTTGATGCATCTTACGACTTAACATCATGTTAACTCAAAAGTAGGTCACCGTGGCATACTTTTTTAATTTTGCGGGGATTTGTTTTCAAATTGATTTGAAGGCATATTTTGGACAATTTAAGGCCTATGATCATCAAACTCGAACAATGTCAAATTAAAAGTAGGTCACAGTGACCTACTTTTTAAACTTTTTGACTTATCCTTTTAAAAACATTAAATCCCATTTTTTCAGAGACTGGGAGGTTTAGAATCATCAAATCTTGTACTTTGATCCATCTAGGGACCTTAAAACATATTTATGAAAAAGTAGGTCACTGTGACCTACTTTTTGAATTTTGCCGACATTTGTTTTCAAATTGTTTAAAATGCATGTTTTGATTACCTCCAGACCTACGATCATCAAACTTAGTCTGTAGATGCATCTTGGGTCTTTGAAAATTGTGGACCAAAATGTAGGTCAAGATGAAATTTTATGCCTATATTTAAGTTTCTTAAGTGTTTATTGGCTTAGAATCATCAAACTTTGTGAGTGGATGCATATTTAGTTTTTGGAGAGTGACGACCAAAAAATAGGTCACGGTGACCTACTTTTGACTTTTATGGCTTCATTTAAGTATTTCTGGTACTTTTTGGCTTAGAATCATCAAACTTTGTTAGTTGATGCATCTTGGGTTTCCCGAGAGTGACGGCCAAAAAGTACGTCATGTTGACTTACTGTTGACATTTTGTGGCTATAATTAAGTATCTCTGGTACTTATTGACCTAAAATCATCAATCTTTGTCAGTTGATGCATCTTGGGTTTTCAGAGATTGTCGACCAAAAATTAGGTCACTGTGACCTACTTTTGACATTTTATGGCTATATTTAAGTATCCCAGGCACTTATTGGCTAAGAATCATTTTTGTCAGTTGAGGCATCTTGGGTTTTCGGAGAATGTCGACCAAAAATTAGGTCACCGTGACCTAATTTTGAATATCTTAGGTACATAATAGCTTAGAATCATCAAACTTTGTCAGTTTAGGCATCTTGGGTTTTCGCTAAATATTGTTTTACGGTAATGTGTAAAGAGGAATAAATCGTCCTTTCAAATGTTATCCAGAGGCTTCAATAGAGACGTCATGGGTATACATATTATGGCAATGTCCAAATTTTGCTATGGGAAAACTTACATACGTGTCGAATAAAAAAGTAAAATAGGAGGTGCACAATAGCAATATGTTATAAAGATTCTGTGAAAGTTTTACTAAATTTCTCTCAGTAGTATAAGAGGAGTTGCGGATAAGAGATAAAGCGTAACAGACGGACGGACGGAAATACCGATCACTAAATGCCGTCCCACTTTTCAAGCGGGGGTATAATCGGAGAACGTCGACCAAAAAGTAGGTCACCGTGACCTACTTATGACATTTTATGGCTATATTTAATTATATCTGGTACTTATTGGCTCGGAATCATCAAACTTTGTCAGTTGAAGCATCTTAGGGTTTCATTGAGTGTCCAACAAGAAGTAGGTCACGGTGACCTACTTTTGAATATCTCAGGTATTTATTGGCTTAGAATCAGCAAATTTTGTCAATTTAGGCATCTTGGGTTTTTGGATAACGTCGACCAAAAAGTAGGTCACCGTGACTTACTTTTGACATTTAATGGCTATATTTAATTATCTCTTATACTAATTGGCTTAGAATCGTCAAATTTTGTCAGATGATGCATCTTGGGTTTTCAGAGAATGTTGACCAAAAAGTAGGTCATGGTGACCTACTTTTGAAAATTTCAGGTACTTATTTAATTAGAATCATCAGTCTTTGTCAATTAATGTATCTCAGAAAATTTCAATCAAAAGGTAGTTCACAATGACCTACTTATGGTATTTTATAATTATATTATAATATCTTCAGTCTTAACTGGCTAAATATAAAAAAAAATCAAACTTTGTAAGTTGATGCATTTGGGGTCTTATGATACTAATAAAGTTGGAGGCTTCTAATAAAAGTGATAGATTGTACAATTTATCAGAAGAACGATTCAAGGCCCTTGTATTGTACATGGAACAGAATAGCTGTCGAATAACGTAAATTGTGTGACGTAAAACGAATGATAAAACAAGGCATGTAGTTGAAACGCAGTCAGTGCGCGAAATATTTTGATCGCAGTTTTTGTTGCAAAACAGTGACGTCGGATTTTGTTATTAGGGTTTAATGAGGTTTACCTAACGACGTCTTATCATCATTGTGGTCCCCTTCACTGATGTCCCACTCTCTACTACAGGGTCCCATGGCGACCACCAGGACTCCTGGGACCAGGGGCCGTTAAGGAAAGCGTAGTGGCAGTCGTTAAACCACCAGCCTCCTCTACGGCTACTGAGAGCGGCACAGTGTCCATCACTCCATCTGTCGTTATCCCTGTCCGGGGTGGAGAAGTACATCCCAGACAGATAACCCCCTGTGTAAACAGTGTTTAACATGCCATCTCCTGTAGAAATTAAACAAAAGGAATCACAGCGATAATTGATTTACATATCTTCAATCTATTTGTCAAATATCATGAGGTACTTCTAAGATAGACGTCTTTGGGTGCTGGAAATAGCGATAATATTTATTTAGTTCAGTTGTAGAATCCCCCGTGACTATAATACTGACACCTGCACAATTAGAGAAAATATATAACAGAGACATAATTGTTAATTTTTAATTTAAATCACATTAATCGTTATACTGAAGTAAGTCTGAGATACACTTTTAAACGTGTTGGTTCCTGTAACGAGAGATAAGAAAAAAGCCAACAGAACACTGCGCAATTTACAAAGCATCCTTTCTATTGTAAGAATAAACCAAAGGTGTGTTACTCTTTAAGGTATGATATTTTTAGGGGATGGAGTGTAAAGGCAACTGAGAATTTAGAAAACATGAAAAATTGAAATTTTAATATCTGTCCGAGACCGTGCCTTGTATGAAGCAAATGTTTAAAATGTAATACGAAGTATCTCATTCAAAATTATAAGGATATACGATATGGTATACCTGTAAATGATTTAAGATAGTAAACTCTCATTAAATGAAGCATAGGTAATGTAAATGTGAAACGCGTTGAGGTTTTTTGAATTTGGCTTTTAAGCTTTTTTTTTATTTGAATATTTATCCGATCAAATATTTTTTATCATCAAATTTTTGTAAACTTTTTGACATTTAAGATAAGTGACGCTCTGCAAACTTTCTATTCTGTAGAAGTAAAACATGTGATTTATTGAAAATCGTCCAATTTTCATTTAATGGAGAAAAGGTATAGTAAATGTGAAACACATTAAGGTATCTAAATGTGGCTTTTTTAATTTGAAAATGTTTCCGATCAAATAATTTTCTTTGAACATGAAATATTTGTGAAGATGTCGACATTATAAATCAATTAAGCTCCGTAAACTTTCTTTTTCAGTAGTAGTCAAAATGTGAATTATGAAAAATTATCAGGAAACCCAAGCTGAATCACAGTGTTGGAGCAAATGTAATTACTCGATTTGTTTGTTAAAAATAATTAAACATAATTTTCCTTGTACTTAAAATGTATAATTTGAAATTCTAGCTACTTGAAAATAACAAATTTAATGCCTGCTTAATTCGTGAATTGTACCTGCAAATGATAATCTGAAATATTAAACATGTTTAATTAGCGTGGAATCAAAAACGTATCTGAATATCAGGAAAGAAATGTATCTTTCTCTTTTTTTAAAACAACTTTTAAAATACTGTAGATCACTTAATTTTCGCGACACCTTAATTTCGCGAGACAGTCATTAACTCTTTATTAGCGAGTCATAATTTTCACGAATTGTTGTTTTTCCTCTATACTCGTAATAGTAAGGAATACTTTTAAACGCTAGAATGAAATTTTCGCGAGCTCATTGTGTCGCGTAATTACTATGAGATACGTAATTTGAACCCAATTTTAAGAACTTAACGTGAATACACTTACCTAAGGTCCCCGTGGCAGGTCCTGCAAGAAAGAGTTGATATTTCCCTGCTTCGTTAGAGACAGAAAATTGATTGTACATTTCATAAAGCGTTGTACCATTCTGGAGAGTGATGGAAACATAAAGGGATGATGAGTTCTCTTTTGTTAATTGATGGATTACGTCATTTCCTGTATTAAGATATATGTGAAATCAGCTGAAAAATCCATTGGATACAATTAATTCCATTAAAAATATGAATCTACCGTAATGACAAAAATTGATTATTTTCCTTGGCTGTAGACAGTAATGCTAAATTTGGTCTCTTGAAAATATTCTGCTAAATTATTTTCTTTTCTTCTTTTTTTTCTCTTTAATTATTTGATACATGTTAATCAATTAAACACGATATGCAAATATCGTAGGACACATATTACCCAGTCTTCAGTTCAGATCTGGTATAGGCTTTCATTTATTTCCTGACACAATATTATTTTTTAAATTTGAGGGAATAAAAAGTTCCTATCTGAAAGCAATTTACACTTACCAACCCAGACATCCTGTTCCGGTGAACCAAATCCGTTTTTATATTCCGTCCAGGTCCTGTTAAAGTCCAGGGATCCAATAATTCGTTTTTGGATTGTCTGTAAAGTTAACACGTATAGCAAATCATTTGTTTAAACAGTTGTGTGCTCGACATAATATGATATAAACTAAAAATATTCATATTTTTTCAATCTATATTCTGTTAAACAACAAAAAACATTGAGTTTGAAATAAATTAAATAATATCCATTTATACTGAAATTAACAACAAACCGTCCATCCTCCATTCATCGTTGTCATATCGCAATATACACTGACAGGACTAGTGATGGTTTCATAGGGATAGATATCATACACCCCTGAATTTAAGTGTCCATCTGTTTGTAGATCCTTACAGTCTCTAGATGTAACTTAAGTAGAAAAAAATACGATTAACAGAAAAAAAAACTAATAAAAATAATACTGAGATCATACTATGTGTATACAATGTAGAAAAAAAAACTTACAATCCATAGAAGTAACTAATAGAAAAAAAATGGCATCATACTATGTATATACAATCTACAGAAAGGAACTTACAATTTATAGAAAAAGATAACAGAAATATACTTGAATTGTACTATGTATATTTAATGTACAGAAAAAAAAACTTACAATCCATGGAAATATATAACAAGATAACATTGATGTAACCATCAATTGATGCGGGGAAATAAATAAAGTAAACAATGGAAATGAATCTTGATCATCAAACCGCTTCAATATGTGTGAAAAGGAATGCATCTAAATGATGTAGACGATAGTCGAAGATATTTTGTAAACTTATAGTCGATGGAAATCGAACAAAAACTTTATCAATTCCTCAAGTAAATGTTGGCTGCATAAAATATAAATTGAAACTAGACTCATGCATCACCTTTTTTCAAAAATGTAATAAATTTCAAGAATATAAAACACGAACTGTGTATAGTATTTTTAAGCGATTAGTAAAATTCAATGTTCTAAAAAAAGGACCTCTCGTTTTTTTCAATTGAAAATGAGATGCAACTTTATAAATTTAATATAAAAAACATACATATTTTTACAAATTCACTTTCCGTGTTATGTGTCTCGTAATTTATAAAGGGAAAGAACATTCTGATTAACAATCTGTTTAATCTTTAGAAAACCTTTATTTCTGAATAACTTCTCCCATCTCAATCTGCATACACCAACACTTAAAGTTTTATGTATAAAGCAGCCCGGTCCTCCCGGCTGCAATAAAAATAATACTGGAATCATACTATGTATATACAATGTACAGAAATAATTAATAAAAATATTTTTTTTAGCATAACCAAGTGCGCGTCGTCTGCTTTGTAAAGTGTTTAAATCCAATATCATCCGTCATAATAAATGCACATCAATAGTAATAACAGCGTTAATATGGTTGAGAACAATGCATAAATGAAAAATCATACAAATTTTAAAGTTACAAAACAACATTTCATGTATTTTATTGCAAGCAATTGTTATGCGTCTTTACCTTCGAAAGGTTCAGGAGAAAGGAATGTGAAGATCAAACCCGACCTTTTATATACTACACTTGATGTGTCAACCAAACCCGACCCTTAAAAGCCAACGTTCAAATAACAAATACTTGGGACCTATAAACTAGTTGATAGGTCTCTTCAAATATACTTTTCTCGTAAAATAAAGGCATCTATTTTGTATACACAAATAGATGCTATTATGTATAAAGCAGCCCGGTCCTCCCGGCTGCAACAAAAATAATACTGGAATCATACTTTGTATATGTAATGTACAGAAAAAAAATTACAATCCATGGATATAGATAACAAGAAAACATTGATTTTGCCATCAATTTTTGCGGGGAAATAAATAAAGTAAACAATGGAAATGAGTCTTGATCATCAAACCGCTTCAATATGTGTGAAAAGGAATGCGTCTAAATGTTGGAGACGATATTAGAGGATATTTTGAAAACTTATAGTGGGATGAAAATCGAACAAAAACGATACGCATTTTAAACTAAATCAATTCTTCAAGTAAATGTTGGCTGCATTAAATATAAATTGAAACTAGACTCATCTATCACCTATTTTCAAAGATGTAATTAACTTTAAGAATATAAAACACAAACTGCGTATACGTTTTGCACTTTTATGCGATTAGTGAAATTCGATGTTCTAAAAAAAGGACATCTCTTTTTTAATAGTAAATGAGAAGCAACTTTATAAATTTAATATCCAAAACATACATATTTTTACAAATTCACTTTAAGGAAGTAAATATATTACAGCATGTATCTCGTTATTTATAAAGGGAAAGAACATTCTGATTGACAATCTTTCTAATGTTAAGAAAATCTTTAATTCTGATAACTTCTCCCATCTCAATATCCACACCCCAACACTTATACTTTTATGTATAAAGCAGCCCGGTCCTCCGGGCTGCAATAAAATTATACTAGAATCATACTATGTATATACAATGTACAGAAATAATTAAAAAAATAATACTGGAATCATTCTTTGTATATACAATGTACAGAAAAAACTAATAAAAATAATACTGGAATCATACTTTGCATATTTAATGTACAGATATAACTTATAACAAAAATACTGGAATCATACTATATAAATACAATTTACAGAAATAACTAATGAGAAATAAAACTGGAATCATACTCTATACCTGAAAGTAGGATTAAGGTTATCTCTTTATTAAAGCTAAGTTAGTTAACAACAATGTAGTCATTGTGAAGCATGCTCTTATTACGGAAATTGAAGTGATTAGAAATAAAAAGACATGACTATTACTTAGAATTAATTAATATTGTTATACCTCTATTGATAAAACTCGAATTTAATTGGCTGGTAAGAAAACTTTAAAACACAACAATGACTCCAAATGGCACTGTTTACAGCAATAATGACCTAGGAATCATTGCACGTGGGATATAATGACCCGGTCATTATTATTAATGAACGCTAAATAATGACCTCTTAATCAAAAATTCCTTTTTGAGTGAAGTTAATGCATAGAATAATAATCATTCGAGAAAAACAACATGTTTTTAAAATTGTACATTGTTTTGCAATACCATACAGAATACCGTAAAATTTTATCGTTAACATAAACGGTTTACTCATTTCAAAATATCGTTGCAATTCAGTTAAATGGAATATAGAAGCGGCTCTTTAAAGAGGTGAATTCTGTGTTAGATTTTGACTGTGTAGAAGAAAAGTAATCGCTAGTTATAACAATGTATGTCACCATCAACCAAATATTGTTTTAATCAGTAAATCATGATGCAAAACCTTACACGACTTTCAGACGTCGATATAAACAACTTCACTATATGGAGTGTAGCGAATCCCGATCCAGATCAAAGAAAGAATTGATAGCGGTTACAGATTCATACTTTTCAACATATCTCGGCTTAATAAAACAATTGATTACCCCCTTCGAGTTTAACATGGTGAATTAAGGACCCTCGACCTGGCCCACTCGATTACCTGCCCTCACCTCGGCCGCTACGCGGCCTCGGTCACGTCAGGTCACCTCGTGGGCCAGGTCTCGGGTCCTAATTTCACCATGTTGACCTTAAAATGGGTAATTAATTGTATAATGTAAAAGGATAAAATTTTATAATATTAATTTGATTTGTGGCAAATAAAATTAAGAAAAATAACAGTTATACATACAGTCTTGTGAGTTGTATGAGTAGTATCTCCAGCCACTCTCATTAGACACCCCAGACGTGAAAATCTTCGTGTGGGTACGGCATTTCTTTATCTTAGGATTGAATCCAATTAAGCTACACTCTCTTTGACAACGCACTGCACACTCTATAACTGATGTAGAGTTGTGTTCTCCTAAAAGCTCTTCATTTGATTTCTTTTCATCCATTTCGAGTTTTGCAGTATATTTCCTCGAAATAATGGTAGACTGGGAAACGTCAAAAAAGATAAAAACTAAATAGATTGCACAAAGAGCGCCCATTTTGTACTCTACTGGCTGCGTTGTGGTTTCCCTTTAGAAATTTGCAATGTAGTTTACCGAACGCCAAATATAATATCAAAATATACATCAGTTACTGAAAATGATTGGCTAACAGTTATGTACTCCGTATGTTTCTTTCATTGAAATATTGATTTGTTGAATCTGAAATAAACTAGTGCTAATTGTAACGGAAACCGTTACAGATGTTCCCCAAACGTCCTGCTAGTCCCTTTTGGTGTCCTTGTGAAGACAAAAAATGACCTCTATAGAATATTGACCAGTCATAAAAAATGACCATTTTGTCCGTAGAAAAATTAAAAATACCCTAAATATTTGCATAACCCAAATGACGAAAATTGACCCCAGTAGAATAATGACTTCCTTGTCGATTTAATTTACAATTTTTACGGCGCCAAAAAAATGAAAAAGGACCTTATGGACAAAATACGCACCTTGGCTAAAGAAGGAATAAATTGGTAATCTGATCTCATTAAATTACACAATTATTGCTTCTTTGAGGTCAATGCGACGATTTAGAATCTGAAAGAGTATAAGAATTATCGAGCCAAAAGGACTAGATGAACATTGTTTTATTTTCGATTATGGAGAGTTATCGTACTGACTGAAAAATGTAGTAATATGATATAACTAGTTTTGTACCCCCGTCGAAAAGCCGGAGATGATGTAAGGCTAATTATGTCCGTCTGTCTGTTACGCGTTGAGTTATCCCTCTCTTATACGAATTTCCTCTTATACCTCTAAATGAAATTGAATGAGACTTTCACTACTTGACGTTTGATCTGACACAAACTGTATGTTTTAAGTATCAGTCACATTATCCAGCGATGGGGTTAACGATGAGAGACCGATGCATTTTCTGATGAAAATGGCGTGGTTGCCGCCCGGACACCACTAGTGATCGGACGGTGACTGAAGCCATTTTGCGAATCGGTGGGGTCATCGGTAGGAAATAATTCGTAGTTTAAAATCAGCGATGTCTCCAACGATGTCTCTCATAGCTCCTCATCGGCAACCCATCATTAACACAGCTTTAAAGGATCGGCCGATGTATGGCCAAGCATCGTCCAATATCCGTTGAATCTGAGGCCATCAGGGAGTTGAGTGGTGTTCAACAGATAACGGCCGATCATCGGTCGATGTTCGACCAAACATTGGCCCGTAGTCGACCGATGTACTAACGATGTTCACCAACTTATGAGCGAAGTAATATACATTGGCCGATTATCCTGGAACATAGTTTTATGATTAGCAATGCATCGCTGGGCCTTTGTAGGTCCGGTCGGCAACCACGCCATTTTTATCATAAAACGCATTGGTTGCCCATTGTATACCCATCGCTGGATAATGTGACTGATTCTTTGAGGACTACTAGGCCGATGTGGACCAATGTTAGGGCATCGTTAAAGTATACGTCACATTATCCAACGATGGGGTATACGATGAGAAACCGATGCGTTTTTTGATGAAAATGGCGTGGTTGCCGGCCGGGCACCACTAGTGACCGGACGGTGACTGAGTCTTTTTTGCGAATCGGTGGGGTCATCGGTAGGAAATAATTTGTAGTTAAAATTCAGCGATGTCTCCAACGATGCTTCACATCGCTCCTCATCGGCAACCCATCATTAACACATATTTCAAGGATCGGCCGATGTATGGCCGAGCATCGTCCAATATCCGTTGAATCTGAGGTCATCGGGGGTTTGAGTGGTGTTCAACAGATAACGACTGATCATCGGTCGATGTTCGACCAAACATTGGTCCGTAGTCGACCGATGTGCGAACGATGTCCACCAATGTATGAGCGATGTAATATACATCGGCCGATTATCCTGGAACATCGTTTTATGCTTAGCAATGCATCGCTGAACCTTTATAAGTCCGGCCGGCAACCACGCCATTTTTCTCATAAAACGCATTGGTTGCCCATCGTATGCACATCGCTAGATAATGTGACTGATACTTTAAGGACTACTGGGCCGATGTGGACCGATGTTGGGGCATCGTTAACACCACGGATTACTACCGATTACCACCGGTCTACGGCTACCGGCCGGGAAATGTGACCTAGGCATAAACCACGGATTACCACCGATTACCACCGGTCTACGGCTACTGGCCGGGAAATGTGACCTAGGCATTAATGAATAAAATGTCACTAAGTAACCTCAGTAAGCTAAGTAAGCATAAGAATAACCTAACGGCTCACGGCTTATTCTAGCATATCCAATGCAATCGAAGGACAGTTTCTCAATTAAACTCCTATATTCTGCCTGAGGCATTATACTTTGCAAGTGGGCTGTGTGGTTTCAAGCGAGAATTGATTTCACTCCTCTGCTTGCATTGTATAAACTGAAGGATCACCATGCAGCAAATAAACAGGGCAGTTAGGGAATATTTTCACTGCTGTGCATATTTATTTATTATAAAAATATGAAAACCACCCATCCCTCTGTGTTCATTGATTGATTAATTGTATATTGTTTAACGTTACTCTCGAGAATTTTTCACTCAAAGGGAGACGCCACCACTAGCCGGTAGAGAACATCAAATTTTGTCCTATACTCGGCACTCGTAGCCATGGGGCAGGGAGGGATCTTTTTCGTGCTAGCACCTACTGTGACACGGGTCTTCGGTTTATACAATCTCATCCGAAGGACCAGTCACCACATCACGTTTCAGAGGGATTAGAACCCGCAACAGAATCAGAATCAGAAAATTTTATTTTGAGTCGGATTTTTATAACAGAAACATAAGCTCTGAAGAGCTTTTGACCGACATTGTATTAGTACTACATATCATAAATAACTATCTACACATATAAAATAATTAGAATTACATTGTCATGCATCACAACAAGCAATATAAACACATATATACACAGAAAGTACATATATCATGCATATAAATAAGACAACGCAGAAAATAAATATAAATAAGTGTCCAAGTAGCACTTATGAAAGTAGCAAATTTGTTTAGTTAACAAATATATTTTTAATACTATAAATTTATGACTACTAAATTTACTCACTTTTAAAGCAAATAAAAAATAAATAAATAAATAAACTTAAAACAGAAGAACAATACCAAAATAGACAAATAAATAAATAAAAAGGAACTAAAAAGAAATTGAGCAACAACTGAAAATTAAGATTTGAGGATTAAGATCTGCAGGAGCCACACTTACAGGAATCTCCATTCCAATTGTTAATTAAACTTTCAAACTGAGTAATTGTAGTTGCACTTCTAATTGTTTCAGGGAGTTCATTCCATAGTTTGGCTCCTGCATATCTAAAAGAGTGTAATCCATGTTTTGTAGTTCTAACCCTAGGTACCTGTACTGTATTAACCTAATACAACCTGTGTCAACCTAATGATTGACTCCTTGTTTGAGACTCTAGAACAGACGCTTTAACCACTGCGCCCCAAGGGCGACCCATCTGTGTTCAATAATCCAGAAGTGAAAAAAAGTTAGATTAACTCATCAGTACCTTCTGGTCCCTGCGACAATGCAGGTAACAACATTGTCTTTGTTTGTAAGGTTTACTATATGAATAAATTTTAGAAGAACTTTTAATTCTACAAGTGGTAATCCTATTTATACTCATAATTTCATTAGTAAGAGAAAAATTCTTCAAAATCATATGCCAGTTTTAAATATTTTTAATATTCCACAAAGCCAAAATGAATTTGAACTAGCCTATACTAATTGGATTCCGAAACTTTATAAAAATCCTTTCAAACAAAGATACATTGATGGTTCAAGTAAATGTTTAACCAAGCCACTTTCGTTACTCCTCACTAAGACATAGATAGAAGGGAAGGAAAAACTTCAAGGGTACTGTGCAAAACATATTCAAGAAGTTGTGTGAATCAGATTTGGATATTCAAATATTCCAAAGAACTTTTAGACAATTTGAAATATTGAGATCTTACCAAAGGCAACTGCTGGAAAACATACAAGTTTCAACTTTATACACAACCATTCCCCATGATAAATAAAAGTCCAGGCTTTTGATATCATTGAAAGCTGTGGATACTCAAAAATTACAAAGAATTTTTGGACAATTTGAAATAACAAGATTTTACCAAAATCAACAGCTTAAAATCATCAGACTTTTCAATTTTAAACACAACCATTCCCCGAGATAAATTAGAGACCAGACTTCTTTTTTTTATATCATTGACAGCTTTTCTTTTACTTCAATAAAAATGGAAATTGTAAATTTAATTACTTGGTCATTTGTTTTTTGCAAAATTATTTTGTCAAAACAGATTTTGATTGCACACACAAGTACTGTGAAGCTGTTATCAAAAAGACGTTTGAGTTTCTGATTGACAATATTTATGTGGTGTTTTGAGTCCAGGTATTCCAACTATCTTCTGGAAATACCATGGGTACCAATTTTTCTCCGTTAATAGAAGACCTATTTTCTATTCATTTGAGGCAGAAATCAGGTGCCAAGGAAATCTTATTCGTGTAAAGGAGAAAACACCCGTTGTGGCCTTCAATTCGACACTTATATATCGACAACGTATTATCAATTAACAATGGTAATTTCCGATTCTACCTGGATACGATATATACTGAAGAGCTTGAGATAAAAGATATCACAGAGTCTGACACATCTGTTTCATACTTCAATATTTTACTTGAAAAAAAAAACTTCAATGGTAATCCTACAATCAAGACAAATTATAAACGTGATGACTTTACCTTTTCTATCAACTTCCCTTAGTTATGCAGCAATATATATTCATCACCTGCATACAGAGTATCTATATATCTTAGTTGATTCGATACGCAAGAGCATGTCTTACGTATGAACAATTTATTAAAGGAGGTAAATTATTGACAAGTTGATGAAACAAGAATATCAGCAGTCTCG